ATTCATGGATGACTTGAATAAAACCTTACAGAAAGACAAGATCATACTTTGTATGCTTTATTAAACAAATTGCCACCACAGTACCTAGATTTTATCCAAACAAAGATAAAGGACAATTAATGAGATCTACCACTAGACCAGTCAGCTCAAGCAGTAAAGTAATATACCAGCTTACTTGAATGGCAGAATTAATTTATAGGCACAGCTGAATATCAGAATAACAGAAATAGTCAAGGGATAAATATATGTGTTGAGGTGATAAACAGTGTAAAAAAAACCTCTGAGCTATGCAACAGAAGTATTTTTAATGACGTATCTTTTGATAATTGAAATGAGCGGTCTGGGCACTGCTATGGCAATGTCAGCTAAAAGGTATTGGTTTAATTTCCCCAGTGTGTTCGTGTAGTGGAATAAAACACAATATATAGCTTGGTCAACAAAATATGACTTTATTTAAGGTTTATACTGCTGTCTTGAGACATGCCCTAATACTTTTAGGCGTGTCTTGAAGCACTTGTTTCAAACTGTTCAGATTTAAAATGCTCCCTTTCTTTCCACCATGTCTTCAGGGAATACTTATCTGCAGATGGCTTCAAATGTCTTGCTCTAAGCCCGAGGTACTGCACTGTGAAGACAAAATCAGACTTTAGACATTTGGTTATGTTAGTTTAATCTTTTACCAGCTTTCCAATAAAGTGATCTGTTGGACTACATCACTCCAAACCCCCACTGTTGGAGGTATTGAATGCAGATGATAATGTAAGCCTTTTATTCTCTGCCACCTTATGACGCAGGCTCAACACGATGTCGGACTGCAACGCCTCAAGGGGCATGTTGGACAAGAGCAAAGGAAGCTCAGGAGCAAATAGTCTGCAAGTCAAGTGAATACTCACCTTCCCACGCAACTCTGCTGCTGCTCCACAGGTTAACCTGGTCCATCAAAGGTGGACCCCGGTCCTCTATATGACGAAGACCTTCGTTAGAATGGAGAATAAAGGCAAAATGTTTAAAGCCAATTAACTGCATTTTAGTCCTACTCCCTGTGCCTCTTAAAGTCTCTTATTAACTTCAAATGTGGATGTACTGCACATTATCTTTTCAGAATAATAATAATAACAAATAAAAATAATAAAAAAGACCCTTTCTTACAGTTTTGAATGTGAATGTGTAATGAACATAGTTGGTGTCACTGACACAAACAAAACAGGAGAAAACTGTTATTCAGTTTCACAGTAACAACATGCAAATAGTGGTTACAAGGTTGATTCGCTCATTACTGACAGGGTGACTGACAGGGAAACAGACCAACGTGCAAGATTAACTGAAACAGTTGTCGGGACACTGTCATCCCGCTGGGACTGATAGATGTTTTTGCTATAAACAAAACGAAATACCACTGACTGTGAGTTCATGGGAACACATCTGTCGTGTGGTAAACTGAGTAAAAGTATCTGGCCCGGTTCCATACCCAAAGCCCACCACACAGTGGCAATTGAGCCATCGTGAGCCAGTTACTTACTGTCTGCCCACTTACTGCACAACAGAGACATAGCAGTCAGAGTTGAGTCTCAAGGGGCAATATTAACCCTGAAGTGCCAAGTTACAGAGTCAATCATCAACAGGAGCAGCTACCATGCTCTGAAACGCCGTCATCTGAGTGCCTGAGATCAGCCGTCCTCGTGAGGGAAAAGCCTCGTATCCTCTCGCTGTGCATGTGCCTGCATGAACAAGAGCAAAACAAGTATTGCTTTTTCCACTGCCAGCTTTCTCTACTAACTCCAATCTTTTATTCATCACCAGACGTTTGCATATTAAACCGATGGCAGCAGGGAACCATTTCAATTTGAGTAAAATTCTGATTTATACGAAGCTGAAATGATCAGGCGATTACCAGAATATTATTAATAAAACTATTTTAATTTAAACAATAATAATGGCGATTTTAAAACAACAGTAGCAAGTATTTACAGGTTCCAGATTCTCAAATGTCTTTTTTTCCCTGTTTTTTTTTATTTAATGCTAAAAGAGTTGATTGAATACATTTGGGTTCTGGACTGTTTGTAGGTCAAAACAATGCTCATCACCCCGGGCTCTGCTTTTCACTATTAGCTTTTATTGACCAAAGTATTGATTAATCAAGAAAACAATCGCTAGATGAACAAAATCATTAGTAGCATCCCAATTATCATTCAGTATGAAACACTGTCCCTCCCCATGGTGTCATTTAGAAGATTATAAAACAGGCGCCTACCACCAGGGGGCGACAGGTCATTTTATCCCCCCCCCCGGTTTTGACATTTCTCCCCACCCAAAAGTTGACTAGAAGAATTAATACTTAAACTGTCCACATATCCAAGCCTCCTTATCCAACCACCGACCAGTGAGCGCTACAATCAACCACTTTGGATTAAGCCGTGAAGCTCTTCACTGTGATGCCGACTGTAATGTAACTTGAGATAGCCCAAAACTTAAAATAGCCTGTTGCTTACCACGTGAAAGGCAGGTTGCCCCACACCGCTAAACTACACGAGGAACAACTCTTACATACAGGTCCAAGCGTTTATCTGAGAGTAAACCCCGACTGTGATGAACAGTCATATTCATATTAACGTTACACACGTCAGAAGTGGACATTCTCTAAGTCGTGTTTTCAAGTTCATGCCAACATTAAACTGATGAAACGCGTTACATTTGTATCCGTTTTATCAGTAACATGTGATACTAACGTTACATAGTACATTACAGCGGTTATTAACTTGTGTCTTATGCATACAGTTGTGATACAGTCACACACACACCACTCACCATTTTATCCTCGCAGCAGTTTCCCTGGCGGCCAGTGAAGGTCGATACAAGAACACTAGCTGTACGGAAGCTGAGAGTGGCCAAACCTGATCTACTTCGCGAACAGCCCATTGTGGAGTAATAGGCGTCATATAGCGCACTTATTATAAACTAAACGACTAGCTATTTATATAATAGCAATAACATAGCAATTGTAATGCTCATGTTCAGGATAAACATCCCTTATGATACTGATTTCTAAAATCATCAAACAGTGGCTGGAATTAAATACTTACCAAATGAACAGATGACGAAATGGCAATCAAAATGTATATTTTCTTAGAAATGGCTTTTAATGAGTTTCGGAGTATAGCATACACCTTATTTATTTTAAATACCATCTGGCTAACCTTCAGCAAAGGTGCTGTTATTCTTGCATGTGGGTAGAAATGTTATTTCTCAACACTCTGTAATACACAAACTGAAGCTGCAAGTAGTTGATAAAAAGGAAATTCAATCTATCTGCATTGATTTATAGTCAACTCTGATTATTTTTCCAACCTTCCCTGGTTCCATCTTCTCAAATGTGAGGATTTCCTGCTTATTATTAGATTATATCATAGTAAATTAAATATATTTAGACAAGCAATTTGATGAAAGTCATTTTGGACTGTGGGAAAAGATAATAGGCCTCTGATAATTTTGTGGGATAATTGAAAAGCATTGTAATGTTTACATACTTTTTCACAACTGTCTCAAGAGGCTTTATAACATCTTGTGACATGCTGCAGCACATTCAGTAATCAAACTAGTGTTTAGATATACTCCCACATACTGCTGTAAGTTACTGAGTTTAAGCGTGTTCTTGCTGCATCTATACCAAACCGGATCTAGAGTTGGAAATATGACACTGCAATATCAGTTCGAGGGTGTAGTTATTATTTGGGTCATGTTCTACAACCTTTGACCACTAATATGTTTACAACAATAACACGTTTTTTTATAGCAGTTTTTATAGAACAATGTTAAATTATAACCAGAAGACCATGTCACAGAAACAGGATTCATGATTGTACACACAAATTGAGTTAACAGAAGTCAGTCCAAAACACCAGCGTCAGATCTTTCCCAAATGCAGACGGATGATAAAGGGGGAGCAGCAGACGGTCTTGACTTTTCATAAATGCCTTTCTAATGTCTCTTATTTAAGAACATGTTATGTCACGAGCTCGGTGTGGATGATGCCGACAGGCCTTGCAGTATCTCCATCTGTCTCCTTTTTTCCTTGGCACGGTTGATAGTCGTCCTGAATAAGCGACAGTACAGCTCCATGGCAGCTGGAGTGTCATCGTTCCCAGGCACGGGGTACGTCACCAGGCTGGGGTTGCAGTTAGAGTCCACCACACCCACAGTGGGTATGTTCATCTTTGCTGCATCTCTGATTGCCAAGTGTTGCTGAAACACATTGTTGAGGGTAGAAAGGAAGATGATGAGGTCTGGTAAGCGGACTCCTTTGCCGTACTGGATGGAGGAGTTGGTAAGGAGGCCGCCGTGCCAGTACCGCGTGTGGGCGTACTCCCCGCAATCCTTAGCAGTGCTCTCCACCAGGTGGCCAAACTGACGCCGGCGGCTGACAAACAGTATGATTCCGCCACGATACGCTACATGGGCAGTGAAGTTCAGGGCTTGCTGAAGGTGCTCCACAGTCTGATCCAGATCAATTATATCTTGATCCAAACGGCAGCCATAGAGATAAGGCACCATAAGCCTATGAAAAAGAGAATTACAGACAAAAAATTAAAATGGGAAGTTGATGGCACATAAATCTGAGTAGGATTCTTATTTTATTATTTCATATATGAAATTGCAGTCACCCATTCATTTTTCTAGCTTTGCACCACTGCACTGAATCTGAAATGAAACAATCTTCAAGTTTGAAGTGCTGAGACTCTGCTTTAAGGGCGTTCACATCCATAGCTGGTGACTACTTACAGCTCTTTTTATGCACAGACCCCAGGTTTACACCAAGCAGCAGGACAAGGGGTCCCGAACAAACACCTACTCATGAGCAGGTGGCATT